GCACGATCTTGGCTCACTTCAACCTCCACCTTCCAGGTTCAAGTAATTCTCCTGCCTCAGCCTCCGGAGTAGCTGGGATTACAGGCTTCTGGCTAATTTTTATACTCTTAGTAGAGACGGGGTTTTGCCATGTTGCCCAGGCTGGTCTTGAAGTCCTAACCTCAGGTGACCTGCCCGCCTCGGCCTCCCAAAGTGCTAGGATTACAGGCGTGAGCCACCGTGCCCGGCTTCCTTTACTTTCTTAATAAACTTGCTTTCACTCTGCACTGCATACTCGCCCTGAATTCTTTCTTGTGTGAGATCCAAGAACCCTCTCTTAGGGTCTGGGTTGGGACTCCTCTCCTGTAACAGGATTACAGGCATGAGGATTACTGAACCCAGCCCAGATGTTGTATTTTAACTTTTTCTAGCCATGTGACTTGCTTTTGAATAAAACGTAAGAGAAGGTGATACATGTCACTTCTGGGCAAAAGCTTTAAGATCCAGTGCCACATTCCCTTTTCCTGCATGTTTAACCAAGGAAGTGCCCTCTGAGGCAGGGACTCGATCAGCCTGGATCCCTGAGTGACCACGCGGAGCAGAGCCCTCACACGCACACTGCCTAGAGTGGGATGGCGTGTGTGGGGTGGGCGGGACACATCCGGTGAGTGAAGCTACCGCCAAGTGGAGGTTGTTTGTTACAGCAGCGTCACCTGCTCACCCACAGATCACAGATGCCACTGCTTGCATCTGGATGCACTAATGTAAGAGGAGAACAGGATGGGGTCACTGCTGGCCTGTAGCTAAGCACTGTGCCCAGGCACTGGGAATGGCAGCCACCAGGAGGGATCCGTTCTGTGACTGCCAGAGGAAAGGCCAGGCTGAGCATGGCTACTCCAGGCTGGCTCTTGGTTGAAAGTTAGATGCTTTTAGAACCCCAGTTTACCCTTTCAGATCGTTTGTAGACTGTCCGTACATATGTGAAGCACAGGCTGGATTTCTGCTCACTGGTTCTGGAAACCTGCCTACATACACATGGTAACTGAAGGGCCATTCCTCACCAAAGACTTACCATCAGTTTCATAAACCATTTTTTGCAAAAGTCTTTGGCTCTAAGTCAGAGGTTTTTGTTTTTTGTTTTGTTTTGTTTGAGACGCAGTTTCGCTCTTGTTACCCAGGCTGGAGTGCAATGGCGCGATCTCGGCTCACCGCAACCTCCGCCTCCTGGGTTCAGGCAATTCTCCTGCCTCAGCCTCCCTAGCAGCTGGGATTACAGGTACGCGCCACCATGCCCAGCTAATGTTTTGTATTTTTAGTAGAGACGGGGTTTCACCATGTTGACCAGGATGGTCTTGATCTCTTGACTTCGTGATCCACCCGCCTCGGCCTCCCAAAGTGCTGGGATTACAGGCTTGAGCCACCGCGCCCGGCCTGTCAGAGGTTTTTTAAAGTAAGCCCTAACGAAGCCCTAACGGCTATGTGGGGTAGACCTCAGAGTGCCGTGGGAGGAGCCCAGGTAATTATATCCCAAAATATGGTACCCTGGCATGCAGATTCTTTCACATGGAAGGCCATCGAAGGACAGCAGATATTGAAGAGGCTTTTCTTGGATACCCCCTTTTCTACCTTAAAAGCCTGGGCTCACCCACAAGAACACACTCGCGTTCCATACCCCTCTCCAAAATCTACTATAGAGAAGAAGACTGAGGAATGCAGCCACATCTGGGCAGACTTAAAAAATATAATGTCTGCTTCTCAAGTACAAATTCCAAAGAGAATCAATTCTTTACAACTTCTGTCTTCCAGGTCCATTCATTCTCCCCAGTCACCATTTCTGATCTCTCAAAGCACTGTCTCCATTTGCCTCTCTCCCCTGTGAAGGACACAGAAGCACCTGCACCCCGCCCGTGCATGGGAAGGTAAATGTGTGTGTCTTTTTCTCCTTCTCCTCTCAAGCTGCTCTTTCGTCGGTTCCTTCGTTTTTTGGTTTTTGTTTTTTGTTTTGAGATGGAGTCTCGCTCTGTCACCCAGGCTGTAGTGCAGTGGCACAATCTTGGCCCACTGCAGACTCCACCTCTCAGGTTCAAGTGATTCTCCTGCCTCAGCCTCCCGAGTAGCTGGGATTACAAGCACCTGCCACCAAGCCCAGCTAATTTTGTATTTTTCGTAGAAACAGGGTTTCACCATGTTGGCCAGGCTGGTCTTGAACTCCAGACCTTGGATGATCTGCCTGCCTCGGCCTCCTAAAGTGCTGGGATTACAGGCATGAGCCACCACGCCCAGGCTGTCAGTTCCTTTTTTAATGAACCTTCAGAGAGTAGAGGGGAAGCTGTCCCCCTTAGCATCTACGGCATCTTCCACAGAACTCGTCCCTTTTTTTAACTTCTTTATTCATAAAATTTCATTCCAAAAAAAGCTTATCATGACTAGACCAGGCTCTGAGCACTGCTGTCTAGTGTGTGCCGGCACTATACCCGTGGTGTGAGCCAGAACACTGAGACTACAGGGCCAGCTTTCAAGGGGTGAACTCAGCCCACAGCTAGGACTAGGGCAACAGAAAGGTACGGATGAAATGGAAGTAATAAACCTCAGTCTACACAATGGACTAAATACATTTATAATGACAATAAGCATGATTTTTTTTTTCTTAGAGACAGGATCTTACTCAGTTGCCCAGGCTGGAGTGCAGTGGTGCAATCATTGCTCACTGTAACCTCCAGCTCCTGGGCCCAAGAGATCTTGCCTCAGCCTCCTGAGTAGCTGAGACTCCAGGCACACAGCACCATGCCAGGCTAATTTTCTTTATTTTCATTTTTGTGTAGAGATAGGGTCTGTTGCCCAGGCTGGTCTCAAACTCCTGGGCTCAAGCGATCTTCCCACCTAGGCCTCCTAAAGTGCTGGGATTATAGGGGTGAGCCACCACACCCAGCCTCCAGCTCAGTTTTGAACCCAGGGAATGTAACTATTCACATGGACTATCCACCATTCTATGACAGAGGAATCTGAGCACCTGCCTGCACATGAAGATTTGGAGTCCTCATTATTCCTTTTACAAAATAATTATTAAAGTGGTAGTTGTGCACCAGTGTTGGCTCATATCCCAAACATTCTACCATCAGAAATAGCCACTGCAAAGGTATCACGGAATAATCAAATAAATCCGCACACAAAGGCTTTGTAAGTCTCTTATTGTTAATCAAATGCCCATGAACTTCTCAAGTAAAGTTGTTATATTGAAGACAAGCATTCAGTAAGAACCGTAGACAGTTCACTGCTTTTTGTGAAGAAAAGCGATATTAACATCTTGCCATGCTCTCCTCATATATTCTCAGAAATGTCCTGGCCAATGTGGGACCCACTTTGACTTTCCCAGGAACACATGGGGATTCCACTAACTTCAACAAATTTGTCTCTTGGCTACTCAATTCAACTGCAGCCAGATGGAAAATGAAAAACTGAGGATGGGGCTGGGCCTATTGTCAAAGACACAAAGAAGTTATTGAGAAGAAACAGTCCAAAGTCTTACCCAGCTGCTATGAAAGCCCCAAGGACGATGGCAGAGACGCTGACGATGATGTTCAGTGAATACTGCTTCCTGCAATAAATACATAAATAAGAAAGGAAAGGGGGCAGAGACGAGAACGTTGACATGTGATTATATTTTTTAAGCAAATTGAAAATAGACGTAAACAGCTTTATAGGTAAAATCTAGTAGACTGTGCTTGATGTAGAGAAAGCGCTAAAGGTGCTTCTAAGTCAGACTAAATTTACATCATTTCTTTTTTTTTGTTTGGTTTGGTTTGTTTTGTTTTGTTTTGTTTTGTTTTGAGACGGAGTTTCGCTCTTGTTGCCCAGGCTGGAGTGCAATGGCGCGATCTCGGCTCCCCGCAACCTCCGCCTCCTGGGTTCAGGCAATTCTCCTGCCTCAGCCTCCCCAGCAGCTGGGATTACAGGCACGTGCCACCATGCCCAGCTGATTTTTTGTAGTTTTAGCAGAGACGGGGTTTCACCATGTTGACCAGGATGGTCTCGATCTCTTGACCTCGTGATCCACCCACCTCGGCCTCCCAAAGTGCTGGGATTACAGGCTTGAGCCACCGCGCCCGGCCTTACATCATTTCTTAAGCAGTTTTCTTAATCTAATTACAAACTGATTTCTCAGTTCTCACTAGAGAGGTATTGGGATAAAAAACAGAAGCGGTCCTGCTGGTGGATCTAGTTCGTACAAACTGATAGTAAGTATTCAAAGATTAAGATAAAATTCAACGCAAAGGCTTAAAACACTGAACCACCAACCAAAATTCTTTTTTTTTTTTTTTGAGATGGA